GAAAGCCACTGTTTTTAAATGTAGCAGGTTTTGACATGAAAGCCACTGTTCTCACGTAGCAGATTTTGACATGAAAGCCACTGTTCTCAAATGTAGCAGGTTTTGACATGAAAGCCACTGTTCTCAAATGTAGCAGGTTTTGACATGAAAGCCACTGTTCTCACATGTAGCAGATTTTGACATGAAAGCCACTGTTCTCAAATGTAGCAGGTTTTGACATGAAAGCCACTGTTCTCACATGTAGCAGATTTTGACATGAAAGCCACTGTTCTCAAATGTAGCAGGTTTTGACATGAAAGCCACTGTTTTCAAATGTAGCAGGTTTTGACATGAAAGCCACTGTTTTCAAATGTAGCAGGTTTTGACATGAAAGCCACTGTTTTCAAATGTAGCAGGTTTTGACATGAAAGCCACTGTTTTCAAATGTAGCAGGTTCTGACATGAAAGCCACTGTTTTCAAATGTATGCATGTACTGGTTACTGTTGAGGCGACTGTGAGGGGTGGAGACAACACGTCTTTTTGTACTCGCTACACTTTTATGCTAGATATTTACTTCTTTGTGTTCGGTAGCGTTACAGTACGGATCTTCGGTGTGAGTTACACAGCTACACATGTAGTGTTTATAGTAGCACTGACACTGATGGCTCTGCAGTAAGAAAGATGCCCAACTAGGTTTATTTGGGAGAAAATGTCGTGGCATAGATCTCTACTAGAGCGTGGTTTGAACTTGCGCTGACTATACTCTGTTGGTGTGAGGCTTGGTGGGCGAGACCAAAGAAAGGTACCTGAGTTTACCTGTGTATTGTTTCAATAGCTACATGGAGGTGTGCAGGTTAAGACAAGTCAACCTGTCTCCAAATAATTAGCTGAATGTCATTCTGACTAAATTAAAAGTTTTTTTGGATTTGGAAAAAGATTTCATTGTTACACTCAAAGCCTTTTTAAATGATATACGACTTATTCTATAAATATTAAACTCCTGAATTTTTTTACGGCCACTATGATAGAAAAATCGAAAAAAAAATTGTGTCCGGATCAACTAATTATCGAACCAAACTCGTCACTCGTGTGCCCATTGACAAAAACAAATAAATATGAAAAATGTATACAACACAACAAATTAAACAATTTTCTGTTAAAATGTTGCAAGAATTAAAGATTTGCATTTTTCTAATAAAAAACCAACACAAATTTGCAACTCTTTTGTCAAATATTTCTTCATTGGAGACTTTTATTATGCTAACCAAAAGATATGATGTCCTCTAAAAGATGAGAAGTCCTCTAAAAGATGAGAAGTCCTCTAAAAGATGAGAAGTCCTCTAAAAGATATTTTGAGTTCAGATTTTTTTTTTCTTTAGTACAGGCGAAAAGACTAATGGCATTGAAATGAGGTCTTATTACTGCTATATTTTACATTTCTTTTTAGTTAGAATTAATATTTGCTAATATTGCTTGCAAGAATGGAACGGATTTTTGTAATTGTTTTTATCTATTGGTGGCTATTGGTTTAATTTGTCAGTGGTCATCGGCTTAAATTGTCAGTGGCCATTTGTTTAATTTGTTAGTGGCTATTTAATTAATTTGTTAGTGGCCAAAAAAAAACCTACGTAGATATAAGTCTTGGATGAAACTGAGTTAACTTAAGGCCAGTAAAATATTTAGAACGCTACCACTTCTTATGGTAACGTTTTAAATTGGAAAGTCATAATATTATCTGATGGGACAGTGTTATAACTGACTCCATTGTTGATGCTAGTGGGTTATCCCCACCCACCCACCCCCCGTCTCCCGTCTCCCGTCTCCCGTACCCCGCTGCTCCACCAAAATGTTATGAAGTCATCAGTATGGTTGATACTGATGACTGCAGTGAGAGGTTAAAGAAAAGACATCAACACAATTTCAACACAGCAACTTTAATTTGATAGATGGTGAAACTAAACACTACATGATAGTCTTAGTATGCTCTAAACAGGAGAACTTGTTCATTAAAAGCGGCAGGCCGTAGGGACCAGCCCTACCACACTTTACAAAACAAAACACGTCTACATCCTAGCGACGTTAACATCAACTCTGGTATTTCATTCTCCTGGCCCCAGCTTCACCCTCAGGAACCTTAACCCCTGCCTGACCCCAACAGTCCAAGGAGGGGGAAGGGCGGGCGCACTAGCCTGCACATAAGAAGGTGGTACGGGGATGCATTCATGTTAGGTTACGCCTGTCCCAGTTCAGGTGGGGGACGAGAGACGAGGGGGGGGGGGGGGGGAATAACCCACTAACATCAACAATGATAGGAGGGGGGAGATGTTATAACTGGTCCTGCTACAGACACAGAAGATGAGGTTAGAATTGTCGTGGACACGATAGACAGTGAGGTAAGAGTTGCACAAGATTTTAAAATAAAATTTGGTGGCTTTTATCGCGCGAGGGTGTGACGTCTGTCGTTGATTGGGCTGTTGCCATCGACTGCCCTTCAACTAAAACAGGACCAGATTTGCTGGGGTTGTGCAACACCAGACGGACGGACACGTCTCCAGACGGGAGGAAATCAATACGTCTGCTGTTAAAAGCCACATTGTGCCGACCAGATGGTGCAAGTCTACTGGTGATTGTCTCCCTTTCTTGTGCACTAGGTGTGAGGTCTGGCAGGGGTTACTGTTCTTGTTAACATATTGGCCGCCACCTGATGGAAATCAATTCATGAAATGATCGGTTTGTCTGTGGAGACGTCAGACATGTTTAGTATGAATTCATCCTGGATTACATTTTTTTACCTCAAGTTCACTGAATTTCTTACTACATTTTTATACAGCAAAAATCTTCAGATTCGTCAGGTACCTGTATAAGCAATAAACTTGAATTAATTTTATCGAGATTTTTTTATTCGTAGCACAACTCTACATTAAGGTACATTTTTTTTTACCTGTACTTTTTTTACCTGTGCTTGTCATTTGTGAAACAAGAATTTGCTGATTGGTTTGCTTCAAACTGTAACAGATACCTGCGGCAGTCTTCTTGTATCAGTTTTCTGTTATATTTTGCTGTCTTTATCACATATCGTTCTTAGTTTTATAGTAAACTGCGCACAAGATACAAGATAGTTTAAGGAGGACATTCTAGCACCCAATCGTTAATTACAGAATTTAAAAATCGTAGTGCCATTTTTGTGCTTGATTTTTCAAAGCCATAAAAAATTGCAAATAATTTGCTTAATTAGCTTAATGTTTTTACCGGATATTTCTTTCCTGTTATAATTATTCGCATCTAATTCTAAATGAAGAGTAGTTCTGAAATCAGGCAAATAATTATGTGGTTAATTATTGTAATTAATTATTGTTGTAACAATCTGTGAGAGCTTACTGTAACCGACAAAAGATCTGCGGGTGGTCAAACTAAGCGGACAGGTAGGAAGGTGTTTTGTCTGGTGAGTTGTATTTTTTATTTATTTTTTATTTTTACTTTCTCGTATACGAAGTATCGAAGAAGTATTGTAATCGTGCAAAAAATCGAAATTGAGATTTTCACAAATCTCGAGGTTTTACATCTCTCTGAGTCGGAAAAAAATAGTTTTGCAATGTTGTCCGTATGTCTGTGTATGTGTATGTGTGTATGTCTGTATGTCTGTATGTCTGTATATGTCTGTGTATGTCTGTGACACGATAACTTGAGTACTGTTTCGCTTCATTGAAATCTGTTACGGATAAATTACGAGAGTTCGCCACCAACTCCAGTTAGACATTCGGACATTCGAACATTCCGACATTCGAACATTCGGACATTCGGACATTCGGACATTCGGGCATTCAGACATTCGGACATTCGAACATTCAGACATTCGGGCATTCGGACATTCGGACATTCGGACATTCGAACATTCAGACATTAGGGCATTCGGACATTCGGACATTCGGACATTCGGACATTCGAACATTCGAACATTCAGACATTCGGACATTCGGACATTTGGACATTCGGACATTCGGACATTCGGACATTCGGACATTCGGACATTCGGACATTCGAAAATTCGAACATTCAGACATTCGAACATTCGGACATTCGAACATTCGGACATTCGGACATTCGGACATTCGGGCATTCGGACATTTGGACATTCGAACATTCGGACATTCAGACATTCGGGCATTCGGACATTCGGACATTCGGACATTCGGACATTCGGACATTCGGACATTTGGACATTCGAACATTCGGACATTCGGACACTTAGAAACAAAACAAGAAGTAGTGAAATATAAACGTGTAGATAAAGTAAACGATTTCTTTTATTTCAGAAAATTCCTTATTTAAAAAAAAAATAATTTAGTAAAAATAATCGTATGAAATATTTGACACAATTTCTTATCGTATGAAATATTTGACACAATCTCTTATTGTATGAAATATTTGACACAATTTCTTATCGTATGAAATATTTGACACAATCTCTTATTGTATGAAATATTTGACACAATTTCTTATCGTATGAAATATTTGACACAATCTCTTATTGTATGAAATATTTGACACAATCTCTTATTGTATGAAATATTTGACACAATTTCTTATCGTATGAAATATTTGACACAATCTCTTATTGTATGAAATATTTGACACAATCTCTTATCGTATGAAATATTTGACACAATCTCTTATCGTATGAAATATTTGACACAATCTCTTATCGTATGAAATATTTGACACAATCTCTTATCGTATGAAATATTTGACACAATCTCTTATCGTATGAAATATTTGACACAATCTCTTATTGTTTCAAGTGTCGGGGACGGGTGACCATCTGTAACATGCCAAGGTGATTTGTGACCGTTCTTACTAATCCATTTCATATTTTTCATTGAGCTTACAAAAATCTAGGCAGCTAGAAATTTATACACAGAAAATCAGACACAGATTCAAGACACTCACAGACATATCTAGACACCTAAACACACCTAGACACAGCCAGACAACACACCCAGAGAACACACCTAAACACAGCATGTACAACACAACAACCGCCGATGTCAACTCCTCCCTGCTGTGTCATGATGACGTCATTGACGGCCCGACCCTGGACCTGGTCAGTGTCCTGCTGCATGTAGGGGTCAACGGGGTCATCGCCCTCTGGGGGGTGGTGGCCAACATCTTGAACATCATCGTCTTCAAGAAACAGGTTCGTTTGGTGCATCACACATCAAATTATCTGGTGCATCACACTTCACATTATCTTGTGCATCACATTATCTGGTGCATCACATTATCTGGTGCATCACACATCACATTATCTGGTGCATCACACTTCACATTATTTGGTGCATCACATTATCTGATGCATCACACGTCACATTATCTGGTGCATCACATTATCTGGTGCATCACATTATCTGGTGCATCACACATCACATTATCTGGTGCATCACATTATCTGGTGCATCACACATCACATTATCTGGTGCATCACACTTCACATTATTTGGTGCATCACATTATCTGGTACTTCACATTATCTGGTACATCACATTATCTGGTGCATCACATTATCTGGTGCATCACACATCACATTATCTGGTGCATCACACATCACATTATCTGGTACATCACATTATCTGGTGCATCACATTATCTGGTGCATCACACATCACATTATCTGGTGCATCACACGTCACATTATCTGGTGCATCACATTATCTGGTGCATCACATTATCTGGTGCATCACACATCACATTATCTGGTGCATCACACATCACATTATCTGGTGCATTATCTGGTGCATCACATTATCTGGTGCATTATCTGGTGCATCACATTATCTGGTACATTATCTGGTGCATCACATTATCTGGTGCATCACACATCACATTATCTGGTGCATCACATTATCTGATGCATCACACGTCACATTATCTGGTACATCACATTATCTGGTGCATCACATTATCTGGTGCATCACACATCACATTATCTGGTGCATCACATTATCTGGTGCATCACACATCACATTATCTGGTGCATCACACATCACATTATCTGGTGCATCACATTATCTGGTGTATCACATTATCTGGTGCATCACATTATCTGGTGCATTATCTGGTGCATCACATTATCTGGTGCATCACACATCACATTATCTGGTGCATCACATTATCTGGTGTATCACATTATCTGGTGCATCACATTATCTGGTGCATTATCTGGTGCATCACATTATCTGCTGCATCACACTTCACATTATCTGTTGCATCTCCCTCCTCCCCCTCCCCAGGGCACGAGAGAGTCCATCACCATCAGCCTCCTGGTTCTAGCGGTCACTGACCTCCTCAACTGTCTGTTCCTCCTCTGGGAGAGTGTCTGCCTCAACCCTCTTTTCCTCTCCGCTGGCCTCCCGTTCGTCGCTCGAGACATCGATCACTTCACTTCCGGTAAGACAATCACAATGTGCCAGAAATACAGCATGACGCTTGGTCTACAGCCTGTGGTTCTTGTCGGTAGAACAGTATGAAATAACTAAAATATAGATTCGTGGGCGATAGAATCATGAAATATTTTGTTTTGATCATCGCAGAGTAGAATTATAAACTACTAGACTACCCGTTATCTAGTTAGATAACTGTGGGTTTCGGGGGGTATTCCATAATTGACATCACGTCTGCCAGCACTTATCATCCCAAAATAACCATACCCCACATTCAAAAAGACGTTTTTTATATTTTAAAAACTCTACTAAACTACTTCACCTGCCCAGTGGCCCGCCAAGTCTCAGACATGTTTGTATTTTTAAAAAAAACGATTCCGGCCGCGCATGGCTCTGACCACACTATCACTTCATATGCTGAACATAGAAACAGGTGAACTCTACTTCACCTACCATGTGCCCCGCAAGGTCCTGATAGTCAACCTTATCATTCACATATAGGCCTTAAGAAAAAATAATTGAATGCATTGTTGTTAAAAAAAAACTCATTGTTCCAAACTTTTATAATTAATGTGGTTCATCTACCAAGGAATATATCAATTAATTAATTAACGGCTTCAAATTAGTTTGTAATTAACAGTGTGTTTAAGAAAGAACAATATTTACCACCCAAAATCCTATTCTATAGCTCTACACATAATGCAGATTCTCCCCAATAACAAATTTAAAAAATGAGTTATCAAACGTCACTATTCAGTCAAAGTTTAGCCATTGTTCTAAAATTTTAAAATTAATGTGGTTAATCTACCTATGAATAAATATAGAGCAGTTTCCTTACAGTACAAAATCAGACAAACAAACAAAAATATTCAAACATGTAAAGAAACTTGAGTTTTAGTAGTATATAGATAGATAGATGTTTTTTGTCTCTTGTAGTTATGCCTCGTGGGGTCAGCGTTCGAATCTCGTGGTGGATCATCACCTTGACCATCTTAGAGAGGTGCCTCTGTATCGCCCTGCCCTTGAAGGTCAAGCACATCGTGACCAGGAGAAGGACCATCACGGCGCTGGTGACGATCAGCCTGCTGACCACCGCCATCATGATGCCGCTGTGGCTGAGCAGCCGCCTGACGCCCCAGACCCAGGGGAACAGGACCGTCCTGGCTCGGGTACCCGCGGCCAACAGCAAGCTGCTGAACGACGTGTCCTACTTCATGAACCTGGTCTGGCAGCTGGGCGCCTACCTGCTGACCATCGTCTGCACGGCCGTCATGATACGACAGCTGAGGTCACTGACCAGCTGGCGCTGCCATGGCAGTCACGTGACACAGCGTCACGTGCTCCGGAAGCTGACGTCACGGGACATGCGAGCCGCCAAGGCCGTGACCTTTGTCTCGTGTGTCTACATCACGTGCGCGTTCCCCAGCTGCGTCATCTTCCTGCTGGAGCTATCCCTCAGCTGCTCCCAGCAGAACCTCTACTTCCTGCTCTGGGCCGTGGCCTTCACCTTGGAGGCCATCAACAGCGCCGTGCACATTTTTATTTACTACCACGTGAGTTCCAGGTTTAGGGTGATTATGACTGGAATGTTGAAGTCATTCAGTCACCTAGTGTGTTGACTTGGATGTCGAAGTCATTCAGTCATCTAGTGTGTTGACTTGGATGTTGAAGTCATTCTCTCATCTAGTGTGTTGACTTGGATGTTGAAGTCATTCTGTCATCTAGTGTGTTCACTTGGATGTTGAAGTCATTCAGTCATCTAGTTTGTTGACTTGGATGTTGAAGTCATTCAGTCATCTAGTGTGTTGACTTGGATGTTGAAGTTTAGGGTGATTATGACTTGGATGTTGAAGTCATTCAGTCATCTATTGGCAGTCGTAATAACTCACAGACAGAGATATGACCGACATTTCAACCAATCAACTTTTGCTGCCCATATTGCTTGTAGTTTAGTGACTGTCAATGCTGTAACCAGCTCACCTAGTGTAACCTACAAGAATTCAAACTTCGTTCAGTTCATTGTGTCTCTTTACTCGACGTCATCAAATCCGTGTTTTCCATTGGCTAAAAAATGTTGATTGGGCGGAGCCTGTATGTTGATGGTCAATGAGAGTTGAAGGTCGCTGCAGTAACAGCTGCCAATCACGTGACAAATGTGTCTCAATTATTATGGTGTAAAGGTTGGATTATTTCTTGTGTGAATAAAACAGCTACAATGTTCATGTTGGTTAGATGTTAAGCCTTACTTAAACTGTAGTTATGCTTGAAATGAAATGATATCATTACTGAATGATCCGGTTTTAAAGATTAACACTTGGGGGCGGTGTGGCCGGGTGGTAGAGCGTATGGTTGATAACTCGAAAGTCCCGAAAGCTGATTGGCTCGTTAGTTGGGTACAGCCCGTCTAGGGGTGACAACATTGGAAGCTAACCAGTGGCCACATGGCTAGTGATAGAACTACCAGGCTACCCAGCCGTCCATTCCAACCGACCATTCCAACCGACCATTCCAACCGACCATTCCAACCGACCATTCCAACCGTCCGTTCCGATTAAGATGACCGACTGAGATGACTCTTTAATCAAAATTGTAATTAAAGTTTGTTGCAACGCCTTCATTTATTTCACCACAGAATGCCAGAGAACATATTCCACAAACAAATCCCACAAACAAATCCCACAAACAAATCCCACAAACAAATCCCAAATCCACCATTTGCGTCACTGCATCGACCACATGGGACATGGATGATAAAAAAAATCTTTGACAACATAAAGGAAACTACTCTAAAGCTTAATTAAATAACCTAATTAAGTAGTCTCGCTTTAGACAGTTTAATTATTATTCCAATCAAAGTTCGTTCGTTTTGAAATATCAGGTCATACCACACAGGACAGCCACACAGGACAGCCACACAGGACAGCCACACAGGACAGCCACACATGACAGCCACACAGGACAGCCACACAGGACAGCCACACAGGACAGCCACACAGGACAGCCACACAGGACAGTCACACAGGACAGCCACACAGGACAGCCACACAGGACAGCCACACAGGACAGCCACACATGACAGCCACATTAGGAAATTTACACAGCTATCAACATCTGGCATTCTCATGACTGTTGGACACTACACAAGATCGTACTACACTACACAAGATCGTACTACACTACACAAGATCGTACTACACTACACAAAATTGTAGTACACTCCATAAAACTGTAGCACATTCCACAAGACTGTAGTACACTCCACAAGATTGTAGTACACTCCATAAAACTGTAGTACACTCCATAAAACTGTACTACACTCCATAAAACTGTAGTACACTCCATAAAACTGTAGTACACTCCATAAAACTGTAGTACACTCCATAAAACTGTAGTACACTCCATAAAACTGTAGTACACTCCACAAGACTGTAGTACACTACACAAGATTGTATTACACTCCATAAAACTATAGTACATTCCACAAGATTGTAGTACATTCTACAAGATCGTACTACACTCCATAAGACTGTACTACACTCCATAAGATTGTACCACACTCCACAAGATTGTACTACACTCCATAAGACTGTACTACACTCCATAAGATTGTAATACACTCCATAAGACTGTACTACACTCCATAAGATTGTACTACACTCCATAAGACTATAGTACACTCCATAAGATTGTACTACACTTCACAAGACTGTAGTACACAAGGCTATACTACACTTCACAAGACTGTACTACACTACAAGGGATTGAAAAATAAGCCATCACTGCTTATATTTCATTATAGATTAAAACATTTGTCACGAGACGTTATTCTAGAGGCTACTGGTCTAAATTCTACAAGGTCCGAAAAATTGCAATATACAAAGTATGCGAAAATGTGAAAATGTGCATATATTTTTAACCGTAAACATTTTTTTTTCAATTAAAGCCATCGAAATTCCCTTGTGACAAGTTTCATCTATACTACTACGGGAGATGGCAACTCGGAATATTGACATGATTTTTTAAATCCATTTTTAATTACATAAACTTTTAAAAATAGAATATAATCTCGTAGAAAAAAATATAGCGCACCATGTGAACGGCAAACAATATCTCTATAATATTGCGGAATATCAGTACTTTATAAATTCATATTCGTTTTTGTTTGTTTTTTTTGCTAAATCGGAAATCGAGTAAATTTCTACTTACGGTCGAATGGAAATTACTAAAAATTCGACTGAAGGCAGAGAATTAGATCTTTTACTTATATGTGAAATTTCATTTATTTATCTGAAACAGTACTTAAGTTATAGTCTTTTGAAAAACTAAAAGTAGAACAACTTTCACTTCCGGTTACCAGAAATCGCTGAAACGTTGATACAGAACTACAAATTTGTTATAATACTTTATATATGCAAAAAAAATCGAAGCTTCTGCAAATCTCGACGTTTTACAGCTGCTTGAGTCTGAAAAACATAGTTTTGCAATCTTGTCCGTATGTCTGTGTGTGTATGTGTGTGTGCTGTGAGTGTGTGTCTGTGTGTCTGTAAACACGATAACTTGAGTACTGTTACAGCTAGGTTGATGACATTTCATATATAAATATTATATCCAAATCGTACATCCGTATCAACTTTTGAGCGATTTTCGATAACCGGAAGTTGAACGTTTTCTATTTTGAATTTTTCAAAAGCCTATAACTTGGGTACTATTTCAGATGGATAAATGAAATTTCACACGTAAGTAAAATATCTAATTTTCTGCTTTCTTTCAAATTTTGAGTAATTTCTGTTGACCGGAAGTAGTAATTTACGCTATTTCCGATTTCTCAAAAAAAAGTACTAAGTAATAATATTCCGCACTATTACGTATATTTTATTTGGCGTTCACTTGGTGTGCAATTCTTTTGTCTACGAGATTTCATTCTATTTTAAAAAGTTTAAGTATTTAAAATGGATTAAAATCATGTCTATATCCCGAGTTTCCATCCCCTGTTGTTTTATATAAAAATATTCGAGAAAGTTTAGGGGAGATCACTCCCGGTTTATTTTTTATCTTTTTTTGCGCATATCCATTTAAATAACCAAAAAAATGTATTTGTAAAAGGTCATGAAAACTCGTTAATATATTTGTAAAGGTTTAACATACCCGCAGTATTTCTATGGATACAAACAGAAGGTAAATGTTATAATCATTGGAATCAAATTGATGCCCTCCCAAATCTAGTAAACCAGTTGTCCCTGTCGATGTAGAGATTATTCCTAGCTAGTTTAGTTTTGTTTCATTTATGTTGCAGTAATTCTAACGCCACTTTTTAACAATAAAAGAGAATTTCCTTTTGTGCAAACTTCCGGTAATTCATTTTCTGTTTGTTTACAAAAACTAGATCTAGTGTTTGAAACGCTGTTTCACTCCATCTATTTTGTTTACAACCAAATCGTGGCCAACAAATAACATATATAAAACCGGTAGGCATAATGTAATGTTAGAAAGGATATGTATACAAAATGGTATGTTTGGATGACTGTGTTTTTGAATGTAAATGTTTATATGAATGTGTGTATATGTTTCTGCGGTAATCTATCGTTTTGGGTACGTAAAATCGCCCGCGGCTAGTAATGTACGAAAAAGTTACCTTATTGTCAAGGCTTTAATAGAAGTATATTGTGATATATTTGTGTCAAATATTATAGATAAATGAATAATAAACCTAAATCAATGGCTAAATATATCAATATATGCCAGAAATTAACTTTAAACAGCAGTGTTTGCGAGCAGGATTTCCTATATAAACAGCAGCCATTTGTAAAATAGAGTTGCCTTCCCCTGACTCGCGCTATAAGTTAACAAAGAAAGAACTTAAACAAGATGGCTGCTATAGTAAATGAGCGTGGTTGCATCTGTTGGAAACATCGCTAGTATTCATTTATTATTGAAAAGTTTTAATTCAATTGTTTAAAAACAGGTACATAAATGAAACAAGGAAACATTTTTGTATTTTTCAAAACATAAATCCTCCTCAAAATGGTTTTCACATTACAAGTTGCGGGCGATTTTACGTACCCAAAACGATAGATTACCATGGAGGGTACCGAAACATTTCATTTCTTTATAGTTACGGGCCGACCTGTATAAAATTATATAAATATACTAGCGTACCAGTCCCCGCGCGTTGCTGCGGGGATAGAAGATTGTCTGTGAAATATATAAGACGGGTTTCATGAATGCGTTACCAATCCTATTTTCTTAGACGCGTGACCTTGTTTTCTAAACTTAGTAATTTAAATATAAACAATGCGTGCGCTTGGATCATAAATATTGGGACACGGGTTAACCTACACTACCTCATGAAAACCTTGAGTGTACGTTAGTCACTCACCGAAATAATGAGGTAGAATACACTTCGGTGACCGCCCATGTGTCAGTGACGTATAGGGGCGATGTCGGGACCCCCCCCCCCCCCCGATTCCATTACCACAGAGGCGCAGCGTACGGATCCTGGCTACTTAAAACTAACATAGGCGCTATAGTCCTCACAGGATAACCCAGAGAGCCA